GCCGCGGCGGGCGTCCCCCCTGCCCGAGGGTCCCGCTCCAGCCGGGGTCCCACAGCACCCCTTTCCTTACGCAAGCCCCCCCGAGCCCAGGAGGGGGGGGACCCCCTTGTTTTAGGGTCCTGCAGGCCCCGCACATGGCTTGCCTGGTCTTTTTTCCTGCAGATGCCTTGGCCCGTGGCAGGGGATGGTGGTGGGGAGGGGAGCTGGAGGTGTTTCCCCAGGGAGGGGAGTCCCAGCTGGAGCCTGCCGCACCCCGAGCTGCACCAGCACCCAGCAGCCGCCCAGCTGGTTTTCCAGGGGAGCATTTCCCTGTCCCCCAGGTATATAAATATGCATGTGAAAAACCACCAATTAAGCTCACAAACAGAAATTAAGCTCACAAATAAAGATCCTCTCAAAAGTAACAGGCACCGCAGGGCACAGCCGGCTTTTGGGAGCCGGGTTTGACCTCGGTGGCTGCAGGTCCTGAACCTGGTCCCTTCCCCGGTGCAGGTCCCGCAGCCGGATCCGGCCCTGCCCTGGGTGCAGGGCAGGGCAGAGCGCCCAGCCCTGGAGCCCAGCCCTAACTGGTGCCGCAGCAGGGCTTTGCCACACTTCTCTGCCTCAGTTTCCCTGCCAGGAAAGGGCAGATTTTAAAGCCAGGTGGGAAGCACGGGGAACAGCTGCAGAGGGGTGCTGGCACCCCGATGGTGGCTGTGACTGGGATGGGGGAGGCCGGGGTGCCCTGGACCACCGCCGAGGATGCATGGCCGAGGGGAAAGCGGCCCAGGGAGGTGATGCCAGGTCCAGCGGGGAGGACTCTGAGCCCCGCTCCGGTTCTGGGAAGAAGAGGCAGCTTCTATATTCTCCCGAGCATCTTGCAGGCATCCGTGCCCACCGCAGAGCCCTGGCCCTGGTTCAGCAACATGCCTGAGCGGGTGCTTAAGGTTAAGCGCACATGTAAACCCAGGTGAGGCGTGCCGGGGAGGGGATTTTGCAGCAGCTGAGGCTAAACCCTGCTGAATCAACACGTCAGGGTGGTGCCCGCACATCTGACTCCTTTGGCATGACCCAGCAGCGCTCCCAACCTCCGCCCAAACCCCCAGCTCCCCGCAGCCCTGCCCTCCCCGACTTCTCACACCCCCGCTCTTGCGGTGGGGCGCTCTGCGTGCCCCTCGCTGCGCGCATACCCCGCCTGAGCATCACAAAAACACCCCCTCCAAAATCAAAAAGAAGCCCCCGGCATCACGCAAAGGGTCGGTCGGTCGGTCTGTCTGTCTTTCTTTCCCTCCCTCCCTCCCTCCCCTGCCTGCTTTCTTGCTGCTTTAAAAAAAAAACAAATACAAACCCAACTATCTCAGCGAGCACGGGCACAAAAATCCGGGCCCCACCGCTGCGCTTGGAGGGCGCGGCCCTTTTAAGAGCCGGCGCGGCCCTTTTAAGAGCGGCGGGGCGGGCGCTG